TATACAAAGGATGACAATGAAAAAAGATTTTAGCACAAACACTGATTTGTTCGTAACTGTTTTCAGACCGCAACCAGCTTCAAGACCTTTATAGACAACTGGAACATTCGGACAGGAGTTTGGCTCAAAACGTGGGTGCTTCAATTTTGAACTGCAGACCGCAAGCACTCACAGTTGGACAACATTTTAATATGTTTGATTCCACTTCTCTCCTCAGGGTGTGTTATGACAGAGCCCCGAAGCACAGGCTGGCACTAACCTTCTTACTGTCCGCCCTGTGGCACGGTGTTTATCCAGGGTACTATTTCACCTTTCTCACTGCCATCCCCATCACAATGGCAGCACGAACTGTGAGTGCTCTACCCCCCCTGAAAGTTTAAACAAATACTTTTAATTGTGGTTCAATTGTATCTTAAAATTTTTATCGACAACTTTTTATTAGAACTGCAAATTTGTTTATTTGCTAATTACCTTTGTAGCAGTCTAGCTTAAATTTGCTGTTTCTGTATGTGTTAAATCGTTTCCTCTGATCCACCCCTCGGTTTGTCTTTCTCTTCTGACCAGGTCAGGAAGTCTGTTCGCCATTACTTCCTGGGCTTCAGAGGCTTGAAGCTGGGTTACGATGTCCTAACTTGGGCAGCCACCCAGCTGGCCATCTGCTACACGGTCATGCCTTTTCTGCTCCTTGCAATCGAGCCGACTTTGGTATATTACCGGTATGTAACTGTCATAATGAGCCTTCCTCTTCATTGTAAACACATTACTTGCAGCATTCAAGTGGACATCCACCTCATATACTGTTAATGTCATCATTTACACGTCTGAAGGTCACTTATTTTTATTGAATAAACATCTGTAGTGACAGAAAGTTTTGAACATGCTCCTCCTCTCCTGCACAAGTAAACTATATTCTACATCCTTGGATGGACAGATGGTTTTATTCAGGTCTTCTAAACCATTTTATTCGCAACAAACAGAGGATCACTACTTCTTGAGTTTTCTATCTTATTTCTAGTGTGACTGATAAAAAGTAACATTGAATTTGCATTCTTTTAGTACCATTACCACATTTTAAAATAAAAGCTACTTTGCGAACAGTTCCCCCTTTCTGGCTCACGAAATGTATTCAGTTCAAAAAGAGCAAAGGAGCCAAGAATTCCTTCCATGTGTAGAACTTAGTAGTTTTCCAATTTATAGATTTTGACAAAATATGTTTTTGGCCCTGCTCTACTATGTCATTGCATATTTTGCTACTGGATAACACATTCACTTAGAGCACATTAATGACAAAGCTACCTCCCCTGTTTTTCAGGTCTATGTACTTCCACGTGCACATCATCAGCATTCTGGCTGCAATCGCCCTGCATGGGAAACACAAACCCGAGGAACTCTCTACCACCAAAACACGTTCTTCCTCCTCCTCCTCCTCCTCCCTCTCGTCTTCATGCCCAGCCGAATGCCAGCCTGTTCACTCCATCAACAACAACAAAGTAGACTAAGAATCTCCATTCCACGTTCTGCTGCTGACTCTGAGTCCACGGTGTTGATCCTGTAAGAGCGTTCTGCCAACTGAAAACAGGAAAATATTCTGTTATTTATTTTGTCGGGACCATTTAAAGTGTGAAGTTAGGAGAAAAAGAACTTAGAGTAGGATTCAGGATATGAACCTTTGCTGCTGACTATAGGATTAAGACATTACATCAAACATAAGCTCAACAAGCAGGCACATCTTTGGAACCACCGTCAGGACGTTGGCCTCTCTCAACTTTCCCGCTCCCTCCCTCCCTCCCTCCCTCCCCACCCATCCCACCACCAGCCTGCCTGCCTGCTCCAACAACAATGCAACAGTGTGAAGAGAGAAAAAGGAGGCTCACTTTCTTTCTTGTCCTTTATCTGCGCCGTTTTACCAACTGGCCGGGTCTTTGCCAGCACAGTGGGAGAGCGGGGGAGCTCATGAACAGCGGCACAAATACCAGGACACACACGGGCTCACACAAACTCATGCATGAACTGAAAGACACTGGGGAAACAAATATGCACATACTCTCTCTCTCTCTCTTAGGCACGCTTGTACTTGGTCACAGTATGATGGCATACAAAGGCAGCTCTTGTGTGGCCATAACAAAAGAGCGGGCCAAGAGGAGAGAGAGCCCGGGTTCATATGATGTGTGTGAGGGTGATGGTTTACCCCGTCTTAAGGCCCACTATCTTATGTCACTGACACTGAGTGTGGGTGGACTGTGTCATAAAAACTGAGGAGCTTCTCGACATTTTATACAATTATGAGTTTGTTCCGACCATTTTGAAAGTCACTTTGACATATCACGTAGACCATGCAGCTCTCAAACTCTCCGGTGTAATGCAGAATAGCTTCTCCTCCAGGTGAGGAGGCTCTACTGTTTTGTAGAACGAGTTAACGCTTTATTTAACTGTCTATTTATTATCCATAACTTTAGCTACACCACGTTGATATAAAGAAAAGGCCAAGACACTTAAAAAAATAATTAACAGTAAAATATTACAAGCTTTGGCTTTTTCTTTTTCTATATTACAAAGGTAAGAAGTGATGAAATGGTGCGGTATGAGCACACATTGATGCTAAGACTTGATGCTTGTTGATAATTTAATGACTGTAGTCGTTCCACTTCTCACAGTGCAGAAGCGTGAGCTGATTTAATGCTGACTTAGTTTTAATGTATTAATACTTACCATGAGAACGGTGCTGGATACCTGTTATCATGGTGTAAGGTCACTGAACAAAAACTGCAATGAAACTGGAGTTGCTCTTTTTGGGAGGAGACCGCCGCACACTCAAACACTGGGAAATATGATTAAAAATATAGGAATTTATCAAATGTGTTTCCTCTCTTTGGGAGCACGGTGCTGTGTTCTTTCTGTGGTCCTTCTTAGGAAAGCACACATGTGAAAAGTCCTGATTTACCAGCTTGACAGTAGCTGCAGGTTGATGTAACAGAGACATCTGCTGGTTGTCTGTACTGTCTGAACTCTGCTGAATTTAGTTATGAAGGTAGGCAAGTTGGGACTGACTGAACCTGCAACACTGCAGAAAATCCCTCTTCAACCTCATAACCAACCACAAACAGAAAGTCTATTTTTACACTCTTATTACAATTTCAGAACTTCTCTGTAATAGCTTTCACTTTTGCACAATCAAAGTTGTTGAATCAGAGGGGGATGCTATACGGTTAGGGATGAGCGATGCACGATGAACACAAAAAGATCAATTCTATTTTAAAATGAAAAATGTTTTTCTCTTATCAAGAATGAATCACTCAAAGGATTTGGAGCGTTAATAGTTTGAAACGGGGCACAGTAGAGTAGTCGTTAATGAGATCTCCTTAAGGCTTTTAGCTTTATCTGCAATTTGGTTTTAATAAGGTTTGCTAACAATGCTTAATACTTTCCAACACTAGAAAATGTTTTGGGTTCTATAACAATGACTGGTGAATAAAATAATGACTTCTTCATCATTATGTGGCTTGTCCAAGGTAAATGCAATTTCTTTCCAGGATGTTTATTTCATTCTAAAACTAAATGAATTGAAATAGCTGCTTAAGAATTTAATAACTTTTTCACAACAGGATGTATTTTGGGTTTGATTGCCCTGGCCCATTTTATACATCGACTAATTCTAAAAACCATACAGTACTGCATGTGTATACAAGGAGAAAAAAATTGAATGCCAATAACACGTTTTTATTTTTCTATACTATTTTAGCTTTGTAGTAACAGGGCTCCAGTTCACAGACAAGGGGTTTACATGATGTTGAAGATTTTGATATTTAACTGAAGTAAGTAAGGACCTCTCTTACAGTTAATGAAGCATCAGTAATGAGGGCTCTGGGGACCTGTAGACTCATTTCTTTGCAAGAGGAAACTCAACTGGCAGTTATAAAACATTTAGATGTCAGAAAAAGCGCTTAACGCTGATTGTTATACTAAGAACTTAAATGAAACTTGCCGTCACCTGTGAGTTTGTTGTTCTAAACAATATGTTTCTGTCTGTCTGCATTTTGTGTGTTTGGTGCAGGAGAATAAGTGATGAAAGGCTCATATTAAGTCAAATGTCAGATTGAGCAGCTCGTTGAATAACTTAAAACTGATACTCTGTGCATGTTTTTTCTTTGCAGCTATATGTGTTATAAAAAGTACAGACTGTGTGTGTATGCATGTCATGTTATTGCTCAATTTAACTTGTTTTTTTTTGGAGGAATGAATGTGTCATACAAAACCATTTGAGTGACAAATAAAGCTTTTGTGAAATACATTTTGATTTTTTCAAATGTTGGTTTTTATTATCACTTTTTTTGTAATATAAGGAATAATAATAATGAGAAAGTATAAACTTTTATTTAGACCAACACATGCCAGTGAATTGTTTCCTGTGTTTTTGTGTTACACTTAACTCTCTCTCAGTTTCACAAACTCTCTCTGGGCGACTCCCGTCCCAAGATGTTTAATCTCTGATGATAATCTCAAAGTGACTGCCTCTCTGTCACCTGTCTGTTCCCCGCAGACACAAATATACTACGACATGTTTGTGTGTGCAGACAACTAATGGCAACCAGTGTGAACAAGGAGAATGGGACAAAGAAACATGCTGGAGTATGTTTCCCTTCAGATCAGTAAGAAGAAAACAGTCATCCAGACTCCAGTAATGGACATATTACTATTAGTCTTCACAGATAATACAACCCAAAAAGAAACTAATGTGCAGAAATATTTACTATAACAAGAAATCATCACATTATGCCCATCAGAATTTCTTCATTCATTCTTCTTTGAAGCCTCCACCTCACAAACTATTGAAATCTTCACACTGGATCACAGCCTGTTCACATTCCAGCAGGGGGCTCTGTTACTGTCTGCAAGGCTTCAAGAAAACAGACAATTCCTACCTGGAGTCATTTAAGTAAATGACTGGCTGTGAATAAAGGAAACATACAATTATTTGTGCTTTGTTATGGATAACTCAGCCATAAAATAGATTTTTTTTTTATTTCAATAATCTTTTACATTTTAACTCGTGTGTTGTAACCTGCAGGGATTCATGTTATCCTTCAATACATTATTCAGAACATACTCAAGTTTTTTTTTTTTTTGTTAGCCTTACAAAGTAAACATGTACAATAACATTTGTTTTATTTGCAGTGCATGCAGGGAATCAAGCAATCAGAAATCCTTTCTACATAACTATGTTCATCTCTTTGTACAGTGTCTAAATTGTATCTTACTTCAGGGTCACTGGTATCCACATTATATCGATCTCATACAGGTAAGTCTTTATATAGTTTCAAGTTTGGAGAGCAGGTTGAGTGAGTTTAGTTTTAGTCTCAAACGTCATTCAAGTTGAAAACAATGTTAAAAATGTACCCACATAAGTCTTTTGTGCCGACAAATATGTGTGTTGGACATTGTTCTTTGAGATAAAGAAAGTGAGAAAATACATAAATATTAGTGTGAATATTAAAACAGAGTAAATACATTTTCTGTGAGGACATTTCAGCGAGCAACACATGACCTCTCTTTTTCATTTCAACTTCTAAACAGATTTAAAATAATATTTTAATTGAGCTATTGAGATGAGATAACTCTGCCAAAGAGGTAACAAACACAGCTCTTCAAGAATAATTAAACATATTAAGAGAAGCTGAGTTAAGACTGGGATTGATGGTCGGGTAATCAACCAAAAATGCTGCAGAAGAACAATGATTTAAAGAACAATCAACAAATCAGGAATAAGAGAAGATTAGCAGCCAGACAGCAAGGGGGTTTGAATGTTAATAGGCAAAAAATAAATTGATGCAGAACCAGAAGGGTTTAAAAGTAAAGGGTAGAAGCTGCCACAGTTCTCTGAATGTCCGCCAGCAGAGGGCAGTAGAGCAGAGAGGATATTATATAGAGTGTTTAAATAGGAATGTGTAATTAAGCTGTGTGAAAGTATTAAAATGCAGAAATAGATTTTGAACAGAATTGAAAGTATGCTAACAAAAATGTTATTCAGCACCTGGTTAAGTTCTGCCTCTCTTGTGCGTGGTTGTGAGTATTTCCAGACTAATCTACAGGTTGTAACTACTCATGAGGAAGGCGTGTGTTGTAGTTCAGCTGAAGCTTAGTTTGTGCAGGACTAGAGGAGAATAATCAAATCAAATTGGAGCTAGAGAGGGCGTATGTTTAGTGACAGTGCTTCCTAGCTGCCACACTTTCTCTCTCTCTCTTTCTTTCTTGTGTCTTTTTCTGTGTCTCTCTTTCTTCTCTGCTTGTCTCTCATTCTCTCTTTCTGTTTCTGTCCCCCTCTTTCTTTTCTCTCTCTCTCTCTCTCTCTCTCTCTCTCTGTCCCTTCTCCCTCTGCCTCTACATGGATCTCTCCCTCACTGCTCAATTCTTGGAAAGCAACACTGTTCTTTTAGAGGTTGATTTTTGCACCTAGCTGGCTCCATCCAGTACACTTGGGAAACATTTTATTTTTTACAAAAGCAAACTTGATCACAAACAGTCAATAATTCAAATAAAACCACATAAACATAACAAAAAAAAAAAAAAAAAGAGGCAGCTAGCAGGTGTAACAAATGTACTGTAACAGCATGCATTTTTAAATGAAAGATACTGAATGCTTGTCATAGAGTGTAGGTTAGGCAGGCTTGTAAGACTTTTAAGACTCTGGCATCCTCAAAATGCAGGCATGCGTGCACCTTTCAATGCAAAAAAACGATAAGGAAACAAGGTTTTTAAACAGGGTTAAACACTGATGAAGCAAGCCGTTAGCAAGCCTCTCCATTCAGCCTTCATTTATGTAATCTATAAGAACTAATGACAATGGAAAGAAACCATAACAATGCCATGTGAGTAAGTGTGCAGATTTTGTTCTTTAAAAATGTAGATTTTTTTTCTTGTATTGGCTGCAAAGTTTGTTGTGACATTTCAGGGAGCCCTTAAATCATCACTTACCTATATGTGTGATATATATGTATGTATAACGTACAGACTGGGAGCGGAGGAGAGACAGAGGCCACTGAAAAGTGTTTTAGATACATCACTTTCAGCCGTTGTCAGTCAGTTGAAACAAAGTGAGGTTACGGTGCAATAGTTAGAGTAGAGTAGCAGCAGTCCAGTCAGCCGTCTCTTCCTTCATGAGACTTTCAGGTCCCTGTGCTTCATTTCAAAGTCTACAATCAGATAATATCTAAAATCTCGGTCAGAATACCTTCGAAGGTTCAGTGACATTTCCATACTGTATGCTCCAGTCTACCAGACACGTGCCAAATCAGTCTCAGATAAAAGTATTCTAAGGGAGTGAAAATAGTACTTGTCTCAGGTGAGATGGTTAGCTTCAGTTTTGGCTGCTCTCTGTTGGAGCAGCTGGTGTTTCTGTTTTCTCCTTCGCCTCCTTCTTGGCCTTTTTCTTCTCGTCATCGTCCTTGAAGAACAGAAGAGGGAACATGCCCAGGATACAACCGATGCCAACACCGATGGCTTTACCCTAAACAGAAGGAAAGGGAAGTAAGAAAACACGAGTGACAAAATAGATAGAGCCATTGTTTTGAATAATCCATACTAAAAGAAAAAAAACAGAATGTCAGCCCTGATTCCTGCTAGAAATCCTCTGACAGTTAAGTGGACAAGCTTACTCGGTTTAACTTGAGTATTAAAATCAGTTTTGGGCAAATTCACTAAAAATAAAAACAAGGATGCTTCATCAATGGAAGATTGAACAGGCAACAGTTGACTCCAGATATTGATTTCTTGTAAAGCTCATTTTTTTTCTGTATGTGTGTTTGCGTGAAAGGAAAAACAGGTATTCCCTGACACGCCTGAACAGTTGGCATGGCCATTCACCATCACCCAAGAGCCTTTCAATACTGGACTCACAACTCAGCCTGATTACAGGTAATTACATTTCACACTTGAGCAGTCAGAGCGTATTAACAAATCAGTCAGGTCTAATTTTTCTTCACTATGACTTTTATGGGAAGGGCACATCTCAGAGATGTTTTCTGAGGCCTGGCTTCATGTTTATGATGCATCACACACAATCCCTCAGATGCTCTCTGATACAGGTGTATTTAATTGTATATGTATTGAAGAGATTTTATTTCTATCTTTGCGTGCACTGCTGGGCATAGACACAAGGGTCAAGGTTCTGAAACACAAGACGAGTGACACGGACAATTAAGAGTTGAGCTTTGGTTGAGATTTGTGGGTTTTAGGGTGATTTAGTGCGTTTCATGAGATGCCACCAACCGAGTGACAGCTGACTCTGGTCTGCCACATGTCAGCCTGTTTCGGGCTTAAGTCAGGAATCTGCATTCCCAGCCGAGATGCCAAAGCCTCCACGTAACCTGCCAGCCTAAAGAGAAGAGTAGACAAGCAGAAAAAAAAAGACATAGACTGTTATAAAGCTGCAATGATTAAAAACTGCTACCTTTAAAGGTTCTTTTGAGAAACAGAAGATGAAGCATCCCTTGACTTTTTTAAGTAAACCATTTTTTCTTTTGCTTTGCTTATGACCTTTCACGAGGTTGAATCCAGTTAAAGGAGTGCGGCGGCACTTGGTAGTCATAAAGGTCAGAAACATGGACAGTTGAATCAGTCAAAGACAGAAAAGACTTGATATGTGAGTAAAGGTCATGTAGGTTTAGAATGCAAAATATACACAATGTAGACAATGAACTTGAGATTTTGTTCAATTAACATAAAAAAAAAGAAATAAATCTCTGAAACAAAAGTTGTTCAAACACTCAGAGGCATAATAAAAATGTGTTTATCAAAGCTTTGGCTTGTAATTTTTATATAGACTGAATTTAGAATAACTTATTCATGTTTGCTTTGTTCCCTTTTTCTCTCATAATGGCCTCCTGTAAATGTTTCCCAGCATCACAAGTCATGATTCATTTAACAACTGACTAGAGCAACAGTCGGTGAGACAATGTAAATGATCAAAGTAATAGAAAACAAAAACAAAACAAATCAGCAGATGAGAGTCTGTTTCCGTGTTTCTGCCATCTGTCATGAACCAGCAGGATGTCAAATATCAGCACTAATAAAACACAGCGAGAGAGAGAGAGAGAGTAAAGTGCGTGTAAATTACTTAATTAAATTCTATTCAGGACCCTTTGTGTGATTTACACAGATGGCAGAGCAAAAACAGACTGCTACAGAGTTATGATTGATAGAGAGATGATAGAAAGATGTACTCATCAGTAACACAAAAACGTGTTTGTTTTCTTCAGTACTAAAGCTGTGGGCATCATCTCCCATCACCCGCATTTATAGAGCTAGACAAAGGCTTATGTGGATCTAGTAGATTAATAAATAAGCTATGATTAGAGACTGTTTATTAGTGTTCAATTACAAAACTAAACCAGAGAGCTAACGAGAGAACAAGAGAAAAATAGCAACAAAATAACGTATAACTTTGTCATATTTGTAGTTAAATATGTCTGATTTGATTATAAGAGGAATTAGGACTTAATGAATGTGTACAACAGTATATTTTTAATTCTTTATATAAGACAGCTAAAGAGAGATAGAAAGGGAGGAGAGAGTCCGAGTAGACATACAGCAAAGGGCCAAGGTTGGATTCAAACCCATGTCCCCTTCATCGAGAAATATAGACTCAAAAAATGCTGTTGTTAATCTTTGTTTGTTTTGTTGTAATGTGTCAGTATGTTGTTGTTGTTATTTGTTGTGTGTGCATTATGTTAATTTGTTGGTCCTTGTAATTAAAAAAATAATGAAAAAAATAAGTTAATAATGAATTTAAAAAAAAACAACAAAAACTATTTAACCAATCTGGGTTCTTGGGTCTCCTGATGTTGTTTGTCTATAATCCATCAATTATGTAAAAATAGAACTTCTTGCAGTCACAAATGCTGGAAACTGAGAAAACAGCTACCGCACCTGACTGTAACGTGAGCAAAAATACATTACAGTGTCATACAGTCAAGGAGTTTCAGTGTGCGTAAAAGAAATTCAGGTCAATATATTTTTTTTCTCAGGTGGGGTTCAGCCGGTGGCACTAATGGATCCTCAGTTCACTGCACACACAAATGAGCTGCAGCTGGAGCTGTCGAGTCAGGGGAGAGATAAGACGTAAGTAGAGAAAGATAAGGAGAGAAGCAGAGGAAGCAAGTGTGTGTGTGTGTGTGTGTGTGTGTGTGTGTGTGTGTGTGTGTGTGTGTGTGTGTGTGTGTGTGTGTGTGTGCCAATAAGGATTTCATCAGGTTGAAGCAGATAAAGATAAAGTTGAACATTTCTATGAAAAGAAACTTTCTGGAAATGTTTAAATCATTTAACCTTTTTTTTTTTTTTTAACTAAATACAACATGAACATTAGGCCCATACACACAACACGGCAAATCCTTATTGTTGCACAGCCTAGAACTATTCTATTTTCTTACATTTAAGGCAACAGGGGGCAGAAGTGAGTTTCATGTTTGATGACTGGAGCATACTATTGCTGCTCTGCTTATTAAATTAAAATCAAATTGAGATAAATTTAAGTACATTGTTTTGTTTTGTTTGATTTGCCTCCTCCATACAACAGCACGTCACATTCATCCCATTTCACAAACTTGCAACAGCAGAAATCCTGTCTGCAGCATCGAAACATAAAGTACCTGCAGGAATCGTACACTGACATGATGAAATTTACTGAAAGCCGCGAGAGGCCCACGATACTTTCTCGACTCATTGGACTAAACTGAAGAGACTGACTGTGTGAAGCAGGCTGAAGGCTACAGAACTACACCTGATGCAAGCAAAACTCAATCCACTAAATCCATCTGGAAATGTACATCTTATGAAGCTAAACCTATGAAAAATCATATATTAAGTTTGTTTCTTGGAGAAAATAAACAAGTAATCTCTTAGCATTATCAACATTTTGGCTAAAACAATCTGTTACACGGGGGTTAAAAAGTGAAAAGTCGTAGCTGATCTCTTATTAGTGGTGAAATCAAGGACTCTGTGATGCAGAACCTAGAGGGAAAGATTAGCCATGAAAGGAAAACAAATGCTAAAATGGCAAGTAAGCTGAAGCAGATGGTAAAAACAGTGTCTGAAATTAGGCGGTTAGAGTGTTATTATAAAAAATATATCTTGGCAGGATAAAGTAGGATTATGCCACCATTATAACAAGTATCCACCCTACTGAGGTTTCCTTTTGCGAAACACTGACTCCCCTCTATTCTTTGTTACAGACACTGAGCTTTGAACCTGCTTAGAGGAAGCCAAGCCAAACTAGATATCCCCTGAGGGGGTCAATAAAAGACTCCCTATTGTTTAATCCTGAAACTCAGGAAAATATAAAAAACTGGAACTATCAGTCATCCTTTTCCTTGATCTGCTTTAAGAATACAAGGTCGTACAATATGTTTCACTTCTTCTTATTCTGTTTCACGTCTTCCAGCATGCAATAAAGCATGTGTCAGGTAGAAATGCAGACATGACATCACAGGGTTACATACAAAGTTTTGTCTAAAAGGAAATCTGAGATGCCATTTTCATCCCTTACAGCTCACTTATTTGATTCTCAAACTTTTTGTCCTATATTTCTCACTTGGCTGAACGCAACAATACTTCTCTCGATGCTTTTTGTGCCCCAGAAAGCTACTGAAGCTTTGAGTCTATGAGGAATATAAATGACAGAACAGACTAAAAAGCAGTACCAGCAGGCTGAACGGTCAGAATGACTCATGAACTAAATTATGGACTCCACAGAGGATAATCTGCTTTCCTTTATCTGTCAAAACACTCAGAGGAAAATCTTGCACATTCACCCAGGCATGAATCCTTACACACGAAATATACGCACACTGACTCAGATGTGGATATCTGGACAGAGAAAAAACAAAACCCACACACACTCATATGGGAAACGTTACGTATGTGAGTCATGGCAGCACAGTTCAGTCACTGTCTTTAAGTGGAGGAAAACGGGTGTGCAGTGGGAGGATTTGTAAACAATCAGTGTGACATTATCACTACAATATTGACCAAAGAGCCTCTGGAGGAGCATGCTCCAGTGACAGCTACATCTATTTGTGCTGTTCGATTACATGTCTGAGGAAACAAGACTTCCCTTGATGTACCAGCTTCTCTGCAGGTCTTGTGGATTAATAAGCTTATACTATGATTGTAATCTTTTTCAGGACCACAAATTATCTATAGCAATCTTAAAATAGTAACTGATTGACATGTTCCAGTTTTAAGGACACAACCCTAATTCCTAAATAATTAGAACGTTGAATATATAATCGGTAAATAAAAAGAATGTGATAGTTTGCAAAACATTGAAAGCCAAAATGTAATTGAAAATAGTAGAAAAACAACGTATGACATATCTAAACTGAGAAATATCAGTGTTTATAGAAAATGATTTGCACATTTTGAATTTGATGCCTGCAACACTTTTAAAAAGAGTTGGGGAAGGGTCCTGTTTACCCCTCTGATGCATCCCTTTTTCACTCTGTGAAGGTTTTAGGAACAAGAATCTTACAAAGTGTTAGGGGTCTATTTTCTCTAAATGTGAAAGTGGGACGTTTTACCATTCTTGCTCAATGTAACATTTCAGATTTTCAACAGTTCGGGGTCTTATTGTACGGTTCAAAGTACTCCAAACATTTTAATTGGTGACAAGTCAGGACTGCTGGAAGGCCAGATTTTTTTGTAGTAAAATACCAGTAAAAAAAAAAGTCACCTGTTGAAATGCAAGAGTTTTGAAAAAAGCTGCAATGATCTGTATATCTGCTCTACAAGAATGGAAGAATGGTGCATCAGATTTGTATTTAAAGCTTCTCTTCTAATCGCAAAAAGCACAATACTGCTGCTTGTTTAGAGTGTTTCTCTATCACAACTGTCTACACTGGGCTGCTCTCCCTCAAATTTCTCTGGCTGACAAAAAAAAGGATAAAACCTTCCAGCAATTGTAAACTGAAAAGCTTTCTAGTGGGGATGTTAGCAGCATTTTAATCACTCCCACAAGCTTTTAATTTTGCTCATGAAGGCAGGAGGGAACCATGAAAACTGAACATCAGTACTCAGACTGCCGATCTTGATCCTCATCCAAGTGAGAATGTAATTAAAGCCAACTACAGGAAACATCCAGCAAAACACATCAATGTTTGGGTAAAGGAACAGGCTAATAATTCAGGTATTTTAAGTTCCTGGTTTTAATGAGGAAAGGACAGCAAAGAGTACATGCTGAACACTGGATAACAACCACTCTGAAAAATTATAAAGTTTTGTGAAATGTTTATTATAGGCAAATCCTTCAAAAAAGGAAGTGCCTCTCTTTCACCTCAACAAAAATGAAAGTAACTGGTCTTGCACAGAAATGAATGTGTGCTGTACATCTTTAGGTTTCTGTTTTTGAAATAAAATAACCATAGTTCCTTCTCCTGCTTATCAAAACTTTAAAGCACAATAATAAGACTTTTATTGACTCAGCCATAAGATTTCATGAACAGCCTTAGCAGTCAGTCTACTGGGCCTCCTTCTGTCTGCAAGAGAGATTTAAAGAAAACAACTTGTGCATGTTTGCATTAAAGCCTCTCCACTTTGAAACGAGCATAATAACACATTTGTTGCTGTGAAAAACACCTGAGAGACTCTGCAGCATGAGAAACAGTCTTCATACTCACAAGTGTACATCCATCAAAATAAAAATAAAAACCCATCCTGTCTTGTCAGGTCTAATCCAGTCTCACCTTGACATACTGGTCACAGGGGCCACACTATCCAATTATGATTGAGTGGCAAACACCGACACACAATCACACACAGAGCCAAACCTGTGTGTCTCATGAGAGCACTTACAAAAGCCAGAACAGCTCTGCTAATCCATCACTCTAACAAGGTAAAATGGCACCAGAGTGATTTCTGTAATTTTTACACCTTCATCTATTTATTACCTTATATCAGTTCTGCTGAAGCTGAATGCATTTAAATTTAGAATAAAAGTAATCACTAATTGCATCATTGAATTTCACTAAAATGAAATCAGCAGCCTGCTGGTAGCAGAAGGTCGGCATCTTCCTCTATGACTTTACATTTTATGAAGCAGCCTATCAAGCTGGTTATTGTCCCTAAAGCCACTGGGAGGCTCTGGAGTGGATAGCCGTCATGAATCAGCTGACTGAACCGCATAACACACTGAAATCATTAGAAACGAACCGAGAAACATCAATGTTTTTTTTCAAACTGAATAGGAAATAAGCTTCCACTTCTCGTGGGTCATTGTGCTGTTATTGATCAGAGCAGCTGCAGGCTAGCGTTGTGACACATGTGAGCAGACATGGTGGTCATTGTTCTGATTCTGGTTTGAGTCATAATGTTGGAAGACGGAAAGAGAAGCAGCCTCTTTTTAATTTCTTTAATTTAGTGGTAACAAACAAGAATGAGGAAAGGTGGAGGAGGAGAAAATTCAAGACAATACACTTGAATTCTGGTTGGTTTTTATGAGGTTATTAAAGACAGCTTTAATGCCTTTATTACCAAAATATGGAACATACTATGTGTATGGTGTTTCATGAACAATTCACCACACAAACTCCCTGACCTACAAAATCTAATGTATTCCCACTATGATTATGACAACAGAAATTAGAACAGAGTACACAGAAAATGTTCTTTATCTGAATCAGTCAACTATTCAAATTTACCTAATTAACAATGCCTCATGGGTGTATTGAAGTAACTTTGAACAGTCAAAGAATAATATTTACACATCTAAAATAACAATCAAAACACAATGTGGTCACACAGAAGACAAATATATCCACTAAAAAAGGTGTCTAACACGTTTGACACTGAGATTTGATTCAAAAATATATGTTTTCAAATTCCACTTGATTCACTTGAAAAGCAGTCTATTGGAGTCAGGCTGCAGATCCGGCTCACTTAGGAACACTTTGTGATTTGATTTAATCAAACCACATTCATACATTTAAGTTAGTTTTTCTTTTCCACAGTAACGTCTCTTTTTATGCTTTGCACGTCCACAGTCTCCTCTCTACAGGACACAAACCTTTAGTAGCTGCTCATGCTTATCGCCCACTGTGCCTAATTCAGTAACGACTAATTTAATGACTTGGCCTTCATTAAAGAAAAGGAAATGAATGCAAAGGGACGGTAAACCTTCATATTTAAGAAGTCATTAAAAAACAGTGTATTTGACTGTGGAACACTACTGTTGTAATTATCTAAATCATGGGAGATCAATGATGGTATTGGAATGGTCTTCCTCAACACTACATCACTTGAGTGAATGCAGATTTAACTTTTAAATCATTGACCTGTTTCCATCCTCCTACAAACTGCCATGATCTGCAGAAACCTTATGGAAAATGATGCGTGTCTGTATAAGTACGTGTGTGTGGGCTTCTTACCCTAGTCCTGCCAGATCAGACACCAGGTTGCCAAGGGCAGCAGCTGCAAAAAAATTGTGAGGAGAGGGAGAGACATGATTAGAAAATGAGTTTGGAAATTGAGGTTTGTGTCGAGGACAGCCAGAAGGCACAGAGCACAGATTGGTTCGAGCGGAAACTGCGACGTTTTTCATCATGTCAAACACAATATATGACAGTTTTCCATGTTCCTCTGGGAGGCAAGTTAATCTCGGTGTGCTCCTTATTTATAGGGTATCAAATGAATTTCCCTCATTATTTATAAATACAAGCAAAATTAAAATGCAGAAAAACAACATGAGCTACATAGGACGTGACTTTACAGAAAGACTGAATAAGGTGCGCTTGTACATCAAAGACATTAGAGGTGATGGTGCGCTCCTATATGTCACTTGAAATCTCTTGTGTCCTTCACAGGCTACAGAGGTTTGACTTTCTTAAAGCACGTATCTGTACCTGTTAAACAAGAAAGCTGGAGAGAGACATGCACTTCAATTTTCTTCACATGCCTTCCTCTGATCCCTACTTTAAGATATTACAGCACCATGCTGTATGTTACGGGACTGGCCAACAAGCTTTCCTAATTAAAATAAAATACACACAGAGGTTATTCTTTACCAAGTTGGCTTTTGCATTCTGGCATTATTAAGGATGCAGATGCACAGTTAAAGTTCTCTTTCATGATGACTTGCTCTCTGATTTCAATGGGCTAATCAGAGAAGTAGACATAACAAGATCAAAACAAGAGCAAGGAGCAGACCTTGTGTTTACAATCCCTGAATATTATTCTGATATAACATGGAGCAATTCTGCAGGAGGGGGAGTAAGGAAATAGAGCATTGAGGAATCTGATTTTACTCTTTTCTCCTAAAGGGAAGAATGACTGTGCATTACCTCCTTCTCTTGTCAATGACCCTGAGTTCAGAGTATTACTGAGCTGCTGCAGTGGCCCAGGCTCCCTCAGGGTAAAACAAAGAAGCAGTGTGCCATCTCTGCTAACACACAACCTCCATCACTATCTGTGAGGTCTTGGGTGCAAAACAATTCAGCTGACTTTCTGCTACTGTAGCAATATAGTTAAAATTAAGTTTCTGACAATCCCTAGTGAAGCATGTGAACAGTCCCACATGACCTGCACCTACATTAAAAAACACAGAGGATTTTAGATAATACTCAAGATTTGCAGAATAATAACAGAAGTCTGAGTGTGCTAGGAAGTGTTGTTTTCAGAGTGTCTTTCACCCTAACCTTGTTATCCAGAGACTGGCCTGCCTTCTGACACAAATCATCAATGTTAATAAGCTGCTGGTTTGTCCATATTTGGCTCCTTATAAGACATTTTAGTTTTCTGCTCTGTGAAAAGCTCTGTAGTTGACCTTTTCATGATGTCAGAGAGAGAGGCAGAGTGTGTGCAAGTTTCTAATTCTTTTTGCCAATTAGTCAGAGCCAAAGTACACAAAGTAGGTCTGAGCTGAATAAGGAAATTATTCTGGTATTTTTAACCAAAAGGATTGTTTACACTGGAACTTGAAACTTGAGAATTTTCAGGCTGCCCCTCACACAACATGTATTTTTGTGTGTCAGTTTTTACACATGTTTATACACATGTTTAAACTGTCAACATATTTATTTAATTCAAATCAACCTGCTAATTGCTTTTGTGTCAAACCTTTTTGACCATTTTGTTTGTAGTCAATACATCACTTTTTGCATAAAGAACTAAACATGGAAGATTTGTATGGTGGAACTCTGGTGAGTTATATTTTAAATAGAATAACCTGGAATGAAACAACTATATGAGTCAGTCAGACTTTCCACGTTAGTAATGGTTTTAAATGTTTTTTGCCGCAGCTGAACATCGTTTGTGTTTTGGTGTCAAGGCCTTTCACTCCGTGCAGATTTCATTTATATGCAGAAAATTGAGGAGTGATGAGATAATATCTTAAACCCCCTCCGGTCGGAGCCTGTGGGTGGACACTGGGGAAGAGGTGGGTTTGAAAGTAAGAGCGCAGGCAGGAGTGGAGGCATCGGCAGAGCAGAGGGAGAGACTGGAATTCTTGCATTTTAAATAGACCGCCAAATTGGGAAGATGTGTCTCTCAGGTAATAGTGGAGGATAACGCATGTCAAGTGTGAAATCACTCTGAACTACCTTACATGTGTCACTCAATAAGTTCAAGTAGATGCCACAAATGGGGGCAGAAAAGGTAAACAAATGCTTTAAGACATGTGTCACATCTGCATACCAGTAAGACCGAGCACCAGATGACCAACCCAGTCAAACAAACATTTGGGATTACCTGATAGTATAAGCAAACATTTTCCTTTTTTTGAAATTCCTAACAAAACTATTCCCTTACTTAATTGAAAATTGTCTCCGGGGCAAAGATTGAAGGATGTTTGAAAGAAAAAAAAAAAGGTAACAAAGTAAAGATGATTAAAATAGAGAACATGATGTAATTAGATGATGTGCTGTCATTATACATCATAGCTTGAACAGGCCCTCAAGGACGCAGATGTAATGGAGAGCCTATCAGACTCAATTATGCAGTCAAGCTGCTCAAATGTATAGCAAGACAAGGTCAGCAGTCTGTATTAAACTCACTGCCCTCTGCTTCTGATGCAGTCCATCTCCACAGGTTGTAGAGGTGCAATCACTCTCCCATTAACACTAAGTGATTCAGTTCCTCATATTATACCCATAGTCCCTAAACTATCATTTCAAATATGATAAAATAAATAATTCCTTAAAAAAGGTGACAATGAGTAAGCTGGGTCTTTTCAGGGAAGGTAAGAGAGAAAGTTAAGATATTTTTCACTTCCTGGTCACAAAAATTAATGAACCAATCCGCCGCCAACACAGAGACATTTAAATGTCTTCAGTTCCTTTTTTCCTCATGATAACTCTATGATGGACGTCTCTGTCTTTCATAGCAAACTTTCCCAAACTTTCTAGTCCTGCAGCTAAAGCAGAGATACTGTCTGCATGTGTTTTATCTGGAATCGTCTATTGGGGGATAAATGAGCCGTGAAACTATGTGGAATAAGAAAATGGGGAAAAACTTTTTAACATCATTTCTTGGTCTTGTCTGCAAGGCACACTTGCCAGCTATACATCATACTGATGGGCGTGTATGAGAAGAGAGCTTTACAGTACCTGGAGTGTTTTGACAGCAACAACTAAACACACAAGTACAACACATGTGTAGCTTCCCCACACACAGGTGTTACCCTGGGTGTGTATTTACGGTATGTGTGCCTCCATGTGTGTCTGTATGTGATTGTAATGTAGCTGAAAAAAGGCTTTATGTATGGAAGGTAGGTGTGGAAACTGGTTTTGGACATTGAGACTAGAGAGAAAGAAATGAAGAAAGGCAACCAGGTGGGATTTATTCAGCCTACAGGGTTCAATTTTATAAAAGTTAAGAGAGCTGTTGATTGATATGGATTTCTGCCACATGATTCTAAGAATAGAGTTAAAATGTTAAAAATGTGCAGATTTAGGAAACGTTCTTGTCTTTGAAGGAAACTCTCAGCAAAGCAAGGCGATTTGGTGAGTTAATCACTTTAGAATCAATTTATAATGGATTTAATCCTATTTGGAGATTTCACATCATTACCTTGGTTTACATTAATGGCCTAACTCAGCTGGAGACCCTTTGAACAGTACAGTCTCAATCTTCTCTGAGCCAGCTGAGCCACGTTTGCCCTCTAGAAAATCTGTGATTGGTGGACTTGACTGCAGACTTGACAATGGTGCTAAATCAGTGTGGCCGGGGTTAGATACATGCAGCCTCTTGATTTACAGACCTCCTCGTGTTCCCACTGTCACAGGAATAAGAAACCAAACAAGTGCTGTGAGTAAAAGTGATGGATAGTGGGTTGAAGCTGTGCTCAAAGAAAGAACTGAATCTCTTTCTGTTTGTGATCTACTAGGGGAACAGTGGTAGTTCTCTACCTGGTTTTTTACATCTCTAATTAAGGGGGATTTCTACAGCTAGGGTTAGCTGACAGACGAGGGTTTGGATATCTCATCATACCACTCGGAGATAACAAGCTCAGTCAAACTAAAAGTGATCCACCAGGAACCTTATAACCTTCGTGTCTATAAATCCCAGCAGGCCTGACATATTGTATCTCCTTAGGCTTAATCAAATTCAAATTTTTCACTTATTGTAAAAGCCTGAATAGAAAAACAAGGTGAAATGCATATTTTGAAAGACAACATGATAATTTGAATTGTAAATCTACAAGCCTTGGATCAAGTCAAATCGTGTTTGACACAAAGATAGTCAGGTTAGGTTTTAAATGCCTATCTACACTTTATCCCTGAAAGATCACTTCTATATATAGCGGGTCAATTCTTTCCACATTTCTCCAATTCTTCACACAGAATAGAAAAACGCCTCAGGTCTGCTGCAGCATTAGCTCAGACTCCAACTAGTGATATCAGTTTATAGGGCCTTGATGATGCTCGCTAAAATGACAAAAAACACCCTGCTATCACCACCAGAAACAACAAAGAAACAGAAGAGACTTAAAATCATCTCATTTTACTGGACACACTTCAAAAAGCAAAGTAAAAAGACACAGCTGAATAAACTGGATTTCACTTAAACGTGTTGCATTGTTCCCACTGACAGCGGTAAAGATGGACTTTGAATTTGACTAAAGAGAAACATATTCAGAACATGGTCCTTTTAGTTGTTTTTACCAACGTTAAATATGTAGATAGGGACAAAGTATAATTTTCACCTCAGCGTGATCCTCTTCTTTGTCATTTGTAATAAACTGTAATGTAAGTGTTATGAACAAGTATACTCAATATGAGCGAGTGATAATATCAACATGCAAATGGGCCTCTTTGAGCTAAGATAAAATTACCAAACTAATTTCATCTGCTTGAGAACTTCATTATCATATTTATGAAATCATCATTATCAAGGCGACCTTGTGTCACTCTCTCTCTGTTTACTTTCTCTAATGTTATTTCACTGTGTTGGTTTTTTCTAATCAGTGTCACTGCAGGGGTCAGGTTGTGAGTTTATCATTAAAACTTCATTATGAGACAATTTATCCAGCTGACACTGATATTGAGAATGCCTCTTTCTGTATCTTTTTAAAGAGTTGGGAGTCCTCCGTGACTTTAGCAAATGATCACTCTAATAAGAAAAAGACAGAGAGTCAGACCGACAGAGTTTTGAATCTAAACTAAGTCTCTGAAGTCTGTTTTAAAGTTTATGTAAAAAAAAAAGAAAAAAAAGAGGCACATGATTTAAACATAACTGAGAACAGACAGGTACAGACGTTTGTAAAGAGATTTGTCTGAATTATGCCTGCAGAAAGTATTGAGGATGTTAACAGCATTGTGCCATCATTTACATAATGAAAAACATCCATTACAGAAAATGGAATTCTATGTATAAGATATAATTATAAGTAGATTTATATCAATAAGATAAACAAAAAAGAAAAGAACATCGGATCGCATCATCTCTGTCATAACTGTTTATCCTTCCCTTATAAATAATACAGTAACTGTGAGATGCTCTTACCTGCCATAGTTGAAATGCCGAGGATCACTCCAATAGATAACTCGATCTGTGTGCCCTGGAAAACACACATATACACACACACACACACACACACACACACACACACACACATTACAGGAATCACTGAGTCCTTCAATAAGACAAAACATCACTGCCAGCTAGTGTAGTGTTTGGGGCTATGATGTATGAACTATATATGTGTTCTTTCTCGATATACTTAATTGCATAATACAGAAATGTATTTTTCCAACTGTGACCTTTCAGCGATTTTTGTGTTTTCAAGCGACTTATTCTGGACTATAAATAGACGGTTCATGATGCAATAACATTACATTCTCTTTGAATCCAAAATGCTGCAGTAAGGCTTTGTACACGAACCAGGACAAAACTTGATTTTCATTTATTATACAAGAAAAGATTAAAAGTAACATTACACAAGTTACAAAACTGGTTTACAGCAGGTTCCTGTTCTGCGGCACATAAAAAACAAAGACCAAATCACAACCAACAAATTGGTCCGTGGTAGCTTCCTACCTCCTAACGTCACATTAAAGCTTCAGAAATGTTAATAAAGAGCTTCAGGACTTTCAGCTGACGGTTTCCCCGCTTTAGTCGGGGACCTTTTATCTGCTACAAAATGGAGAGCAGCATGAGATCTTCTGGTAGGGAGCACCCTATTCTCTTTGTAGACTGAATGAAAAAAAGGAAATGCTCTGAATGTGCGAGTCCAGTCAGACTGTTACAGTCACTGACTGTTAGAAATACTACTTCAGAAAAAGCAAGAGCTGTTCAGAGAGAAATTCATCCTCAAAGTGTGAGAAGTTTTTGATTTGCATACCTTTGAAGAATCTGTTTTTTACACATCAAAAGCATCAATTGATCTTGCAAAATATCTGCTCATTCTTACTTCTGTTGTATTGTTTATTGGGGAAAGCTTTTCGATATATTTTCCTGACGAACACTTGCCTTTCCACACAACAAACTTTGTATGTTACCAGGACAGTCAACTATTTATTAGCTATTTGACGTCTGCCCCCTGTTGTTGAAGAGCACCTGAGCACTCCTCTACATTCTTTGCAGCACTCGCTTCAACCTTGTTTTCCCTTTTGAAATGACGTCTTATTTAGCTTTATTCCCTCTTGTTTGTTTCTTCAGTGTATTTTTTCTCACTCTATACTTGTAATATGCCACGATTCTTGTCGAGGTCCAAAAGAATTCATCATCTCTGCGTTAAAAATGACACTGCTTTGCAAGCACTCTTTGAATTATGCTAATAGTTGCATGCTCTTCCACTGGGTTTTAATTTTAGTATGTGGAATACTTCACAGCGCTTCCACAAAGAGCGTGGTGTGCCAGCGGCAAGCAAATGATTGCAACTGTACGAGATGTTAAAGACAAAAGAGAAAAAGAAGGACTCTCAGAAACAGACTTTAAACACTGATGTAGAGCTGGTGTGAAATATACTGACTGACTTAAACAGTAAGATGAATCTCGCTCTTTCTGCCATGTTGCTTCCACCATACAGACCCATGGGTACAAACATTGTATCATCTTTACACGGACTAATTCTGTGAGTCTGAACTGCGTGAAGTCGACACACTTACAGCGAGGATCATGATGCAGTTGTCCAGGAATCCAAATCCAACGAAAGGGAGTGCGTTGTGCAGCAGAACTGTGAAATAACAAATAAAACAATATATGAGGAACACACGCAGAATGATCACATGAGCCTGGTGAAGCAGAAGTGTAACAGAATAAACAGAAGATACAATATAAGGTTTTAAAACAGGTGTCAGCTCAAAGGTAAACTGATACAGTGAGGCTGCTGTCGGGGGATGCTGATATACATAAAAAGAGGATTATAACTTTTCTATTCATGCGTGTTTTTAAAAATACTGCTATAAAGATAAGAACATCAGCAACTGAAGTGACACAGCAAACAAGAGTGAATCTGATCCCAAACACCAGAAAGAAGGGAAAGCTTCCCTAGATTAATGTTAAAGAGGATATATTTAACAATATATTCTAATCCCACTTTTATGAAATGTTAGCCATGCTGAGTTAACAGTTTGTATTCTCTGGTGTATTTAAAGCATTATATTGTCTCAGTTGTGTAATGATTTACTTTGTTTCCAACTTTGTTAAGAGGATGAAGCAAAGATTTACAGACTGATGAATTTGTAACGTATCAGTCCATACTAACAACTTGTTGATGTGTTGTTTCTAAAGCCCAGTCAAGGCCATCTGCAAAACATGTACCAGCACATCTTTCCCTAAACTGGGTTTTGTCTAGTTTATTTGAAAAAGGTTTAGGTTAAATATTGGCCTTTTGCAGAAATACAATCAAATATCAAGCAGCTCCAACCAGTAAAACGGCATAAGACTGTATATATTTCTCCACACAGTAATGAATTTATCACTTTGCATAAATAGATGCAATGTTTGTAGACTCGATATTGTGTATAATGGATTTTTAAAACAGTATTTTAAATGTCGCCCACCACTGCCCCGGGGATAATGTTTTTCTAGTAGAAGTTCAAGTGAAGTTCAGTCTAGTTCAAGTCATTTAAAGTGTTTGCTCAAAGCACAACTGGAAAAAAAAGTAAGCTGTAATTTCTTCTCTGGAGCTCCTCTTCTTCTTCTGCTGCTCTCCTACAGTACAGATTCATAGTTCGAGCTTGCTGTTTGAGCCTCAGCACACAAAGCACTCACTCGTGTCTTCAGCACAGACTTTAATGTCTTCAGGAGCCGCTCTGACTGAACTGTGAAGAAAACTCCATCTCATAGCAAACCTGCTGTACAACTAAATCCTGAGGTTTGTTTTGGATATTTCACAGCAGAAAACACAATCTATCACACAAGAGTGAAAAGCATCAACTCTGCTTCAGATAAGAAGAATATACATTATTATACTGTTTGCCTCCGGTGTCTCAGTGTTTTCTCACTGAGAGCACGTCCAGCATAGTTTTTATCGACTTTCACGACAGGGATTACCAAGAACCCCAATTTTTAATTTCCCAATCATCACTCCTTATCTGTCCTGGACTCGGCTGTTTAAAACCACATTAACCTGCCTAACACATTAAAACCCTCGAGGACAAAATGTCTTTCGAGTGTTCTTATCCAACATAAGAAGGAGGAAAATTTAAAACGGCTTCTCTGGCTTTTATTTCTTCATTTTTGTACATTCTGAGTACAATATTCATTGTAGAGCTGTTTGGAGGATGTGTTTAGTTAAAGTGGGTACATTTCATTATGATCTTATCACTTTACTTTTATCTTCAGACTAATTTTATCAACATGAGGACAAACGTTGCTTCTTTGTTTTACACTGCAGCGAACTACAGAGAACTTTGCAGATTTTTAATTTAACATTTTGCTCACGTCACATTTTAACTACTTTATCCGCATTAATGGAATACACATTCAGAGGTCCATGGATTGAATTGAAATCACGAACAGTATTTTCCTTTGATTGAGCCGAGCAAATAAGAGCAGGGTTGAGACATTTATTCTGTAAACTTCAGCTCCAGTATACATAAAGAAAGAGCTTGAAGCATTTAATTCGTTTTTAAGCTTATATAGTGGTGTCAAGAAATGGTTTTGCAGTAACCATAATCCACTGAACACTGAGAAGGAGAAAAGGAAAGAAAAAAGTACATCCAACACTGAGACAATTCTGTCATGAGAAAAATCTTAAGTGCTGGTTAGGTTTCACTCAGCAATGTTTTCTTAAGTGAAAAGCAAGAAAGACTGTATTTCATCACAACAAGGTAACACTGAGCTTCAGAGAGATATTGTCCTTGTAGTTGTTCATTTTCATAAAGACGTCTCTGTTTAAATTTATGCTGAGAAAACAAAGAGTGAAAACACAAGTATCCTGAACAATTTTGGGTTCACCAGCAATCTTTCCAAGCTCTCAGTAGGAGAGAGGAGGACAAAAATCTGAGGTCAGGTCAGTAAAAAGATCTCTGCAGGGTGAAGTACACCTGCATTCACTTTTAGCTGAGTGTGTGCAGGTGGATGACACATGTCTGAGGGCAAGAGCTTTCATTGGGACTGAGAAATGATCTGCAAAACACTGTTACATGATTGGGATTTCATTCATGGTCCCTTTAAAAATAGAAATTAAAGAAATGAATTCTCATTCCTAACTCACATAAAAAGCAAAGAGCAACAAACTTCATGTGGAATACATTTTCAAACATGTCTGAAAGTAAATATCACAGTTTCTTTTATTTGTCTTTTCCCCTCTTTGCTTTGTGTGCTTATTCAGTATTTCTTAAACCAACTGTTGTGGTCATTTGGAGTTCCACTTCAGCATTTTACATTCACTATGCTAATGTTTTGTCATTTTTACATCTTGAGGTTTAAAATCATGACCCAAATCAGTTCTAGATATTCTTTTGCCCCAAGACAATATACATGAAGTTCATCAGTGTAAGCTAATGAGTCATATCAAACATAAGTACTATACAATAAACCTGCTAATATGTGAATATGAATAGGTTCAAAATAGCTGCAGACACAGTGCATGCTGGTGTATCATATCCTTTTAGCACTTAAATGACTGCCTGCCTGTGGATGTGTCTTATGTTCTGCTTGTTGTTACTGACTCTTAAGCATAACCTGGAACATAATATAAAGGTGAAATATTGTGTGTTTTGTATCATAGAGTGACTTTTAACAGCTTATCATCACTAATATCTGCCTGTATATTATCCACAAACCTTGTCTTGCATCATAAAGAGCTACTTCCGTCTTTGGCAACCAACTTGAGACTTTAGGGGGAAAGGCTTATGCAACATCTGCTCATGGAAAATTGAACAGTCAGGCTCATATGTGAGACTTTTTCTTTTCCTTTCAGGACACTATGGAAACTTAGGCATCAATAAGCCACAATGTCTTGCTAATTTGTTCTCCTCCGAACCAAGCCTCCAAACAAAAGCAATAAAATACACATGAAAACACAGACTTATTACATCATATCAACCAAGATTACCAAACATTTGACTTCTTACCATATCTTAACTGTGCTGCAGTGGGCGGTGCAATCTCCAGCTGCCCTAAAAAAGAAGAAGAGAAAACCAAACATTATAAAAAAATCTTCATCTCCTATGGTCTGCTTTTCAATGGAGGCTAAAAGTCACAATAAATGTCAGACGGCTCTTAAATGGCACAGCCCATCAGTCACAACCTTTTAAATACAGAGAGAAGAGAGAGAAAAGAGGGGAGAGAGAGAGAGAGAGATAGAAAACGTTTCAGCAATGTGTCATGAGTGATGAGGAGGTGTCAGAGAGGAGGAAAGATTTTCTCCCCTGGTGGAACCTCCCCTGAGCAAAACAGAGATGAGGACAAAAGTGACGCAAATGATAAGTCTGCTGCCAGTTAGGCTGCAGAAGAGGCCTGCAGTGTGTGTGTGTGTGTGGGTGTGACATTTATTTTTTCTATCCCCACACTTAAAGTGATAAATTCATTTGACATATCAGTGATGAAAATAAAGTGACTTCACTGAGATTTATTAATAACTTTTCCCCATTTCTCACTTGAGTTAAGGGTCATATATGAAGTTAAGGGGCTATGACATTTTCCTGCAATGAAGGGTGGTGGAAAGAATACGTGTCAGCCTGCATGTGCCACATTAAAGCAACACTCACTATATCACTGATTTAATCAGGGACTTGGAGAAAGAAAAACAAGTAATATACTTTGATTTTAAGGACAGAAGTCACGACTGTTTCCTTTGCAAGAAGTGTGAAATTAGTCTTGTTTTACTGAGGTCAGTAACAATGTTAGACCACATCGTGAAGTCTGCTCCATCAGTTACAGGTGTTAAAGCAGCACTGCACGCTAAACCAGGCTGAAACAGATTGTGCATGCTGATGAGGAAGTTGTATTCAATCCAAGCAGAGTCTGTCTTCACTGTTATCAACCATAGAAGTAAAAAGGACAACATGACAGCTCCCCTAAAGGGAAGCCAAAACATTCTGAGCTCCTCCTACTGACTGACTGACTGACTGACTGACTGACTGCAGTAAAGCTCATGATGTCCACCTCCTCCATGTTAACAGATAGGACATCGGTCAAACTAGAAAATCGAAATACATGTCGAGTGTTTGCTTTCTTTGAAGTAACATTTTAATTATTTATTCATGCTATACAAAGATGTAAGATGCAATGATTGACATCTATCTTGACAAATGCAGCCCCTGCTGTATGCGCAGGATTAGCAGAAAACGGGGCAAAGCGAGAGAAAACTTAATAAACACTAACACAAGAATTATTTAACTTTTCAAAACCAGGAGGGTCTGCTTCTGAAGACTGTGAGGACCTGAAGGATGAAGTGTGTGTTTTTGTTACCTGAAGGGGTAGAACTTCAATACTGAGACAGTCAAGGGGGTATTTTGGCTTCACTTTTGTACAACAAGTGGAGGTGGAGATGTGTCATCCATCTCCATGTACAGTCAGTTCTACCAACCCCCAGGCACACATGCATTCATACAAAGATGCCTACAAACAAAAATGTGAAACTCCCACCCCCACAACTCCCAATAAGCTTGCTTTATATGAAATAAAATGCCAAAATCCTAATATGGTTTGTGGGAGAAAAGCTATTTCTGCCAAGTTCAGACTTGGAAATTAACCAGCTTTTTAAAATGACATGCTTTATATTTAATCTTAAATACACTGCTATTGCTTTACATAAACTTAAACATTGTTATTTGGCTAACCTTTTCACTTTATAATGCTAGATTCAAACTGTAATATCACAAAGTTCAAAAGAAAAAGAAACCCAAAGCAGAAAACATGCCAGCTTTTTCCATCCTGTTGGCTCTCCCCACCTATTTCCATCCCTCACTTCCTCCTTTTCTTTCAGGACTCGGTGTCATGTTTCAAGCTCATTACTCCAGTCCGCAGTTCAACCAGCATCTCATGTTGCGGACAAAACCGCAACAGACAATTGTTCCCCTCAATTCTATTCCTTTCATCAGTGCTCCAGAAAACCCCACTGCTGACACATTCACAGGGATGCACGCACAGCAACATTACTGTTTGTTTATCATTAGTTCTCACACAGGCCTGTCATTGACTCCAGCCACTGCAGCACCTTGTATACATTTATCTCATTTCACAGGTATTAAAAATCCTCTCAGCTAAAGAGACAAAAAATATCAAACTATAAGACAAGAACAAGCTGGCAGACATGAAAAAACTCCCACACAAGATGGGTGGTGTGAGTAATTTAGTACAGGAACACAGTGCTTTCTGTTTCATCACCCATTCAGGAGTGATTAAGGCTTTAATTAAAGAGCTTTCAATGATTCTCCTGTGCTGCTCTGTGAGCGAAGTAAACTACTGCACCAATTAATCTCATCTACCATTAAAACAAATACTCTGTGAGATAACATGACAGTTATATGTCACTAACCAGTATGCCATGGTTCAACAAACCATGTTATGTTAGTTTTATTTTTATCAAAAGTGTTGCAGCACATGAATCCATTTGCTGCTCTTGCCACTCTATGGCTATGTTGTGCAATCACAACCTTAAAGAGATGGAATAATATAAGGAATGGAGGGCAAAGAAGCTGGTGAGCAGTAAAAATGAACCTGGATAAATTAAAAAACTATTTCTGTTAACTTTGGCGAAAGTATGAAAAAAAAACCTCCTGCTCTTTTCCATTGAATCATGATCCAAGTTGCTCCTGGATTTATCGTAGTCACTCAAGTTTTTTTTATCCTTACAAGCCTTTTCATGGATCAACAGGAAAACATCCAACATCCAGGCAAAAAACTGAAATACATAACTGGAATAACATCAGGTTGTTTAATAGGAAGTAAAACATGCATACTTACAGCCTTCTATGAAACTGAAAAGGTTAATGTTATATTACATAAAGTGACAACATATTGTCTTAACTTCAGGGCTGTATATTAATACTGGTTTTATTAAGAGGTCACATTTAAGATTAAAGCTATTAATTGCTCCAACTGTGTTTCTTCTAAAACTGATGGCTGTTATAATATATATTATTTTATGTCTGCATAGTTAAAAACAATTAAAAGGACGGATCATTATTTTTTTAATAGAATTTTTGGTCTCAAAAACGTTCCCTTACACTGCAGATAATGCAAACAATGCTACAATGCAGGCCTGTAATCCATCTGAAATAATTGTAACACAAATCTGTTCCATTTGGATATGACAGAAACAATGAAATACATCATTGTTGCCAAAATTAAAAGCCTACACTGCTGCATTCTCCTATCACTTAAAAAGTGATGTGGCAAAGCAAAAATGCAGCTGATCCAAACTCAAATGAAATAAAAAAAAAAACTAATTATGAGAAACAGAATGCCTTGAAGATTTTTCATTCCCAAACCAGAGGGGTTTATGTAGCCATTCATTCGAGCTGTTATAGCTGACATGGCTTCCTATTGGCCCCAGAACTCCTGAGGGAGAAAGTATTGATTGCATGGCAACCCAAAATCTCCCAGAGCTGCAGTCTCCAGAGAATTCAATTTCAAACAGACAGGAGTGGGGATAACATGTAATGAGCTTAGAGAAGTACCTAACCACGAGCATGATTAAATACCAAAGCAGTCATGTTTCATTCCTCTAAAGCCTTCCTTTATTTTGTGTCCTGCAGAAACACCAGTACAGCAAGTTCTGGCATTTAACCAAGACTGCGTTTACAGATAAACACAAAAACCAATATGTCATCATTTTGGGCACAGATCTTGAATAATTACTGCAGAGTCAGCGACGCCAATTCTCTGAAGCAAACCGCCAAAACACTTACAAAATACTGTGGATCAAATGTCATTTAAAAAAGAAAGCTAAAAGTTGCAAAGAAAACAGACAAACCATGCTGAATGTTGGCAGCATTTTGACCCAAGCCAAGTTAACAGTCTGGTTCAGCACAGTTATATTGTTCCATCCATGGATCCATTATCTATACCGCTTTCCCATTAGGGGTCGCAGGGGGCTGGAGCCGATCCCGGCTGCCATTGGGCAACAATAGAGACAGACAATCAGACACATTCACACCTGCGGCCAGTCACCAATGGCCCTAACGAGCAAGTCTTTGGACTGTGGGAAGAAGCCAGAGTATCTGGAAAGAATCCACGCATGAACAAGGAGAACACACAGACTCCACACAGACAGGCCCGGTCCGATGGGGATTCAAAACAGGAACTTCCTCGCTGTGGTTAGAGCTATCTTAGCAGTCTGAACATTTATGAATGTGTGTTTGATCAAGTATCATTTGGCGTCTCAGGCGTTTGCTGCTCTGACATCGCTTTGTTTTATGAGGCAACATTTAAACATAAAATCCCTCTTGTTGTGGCCATGGATGAAAAAGGGATCATGTTGTCTTTGTTTACTGTGATTAATGGCTTGTTCAACTTTCTGCTTCTTGTTTCTGGGCCAGCATGAAATCGATAATTAAACACAGAATTTGAAAATCTGAAATGAGGAGGAAGGAACCCAGAAGTAAAGGTCTTGCTCAGCTATTGCTAAGTTATGATGAATAATATCTGTCAGTCTACTTAATAGAATGATTTATAGACGCCATGAGATTTTCTGCTGATTCAGGTGTTTTTGTGTTACAGGGGTGCAAACCTCAAAAAGATGTGGGGAACTTTTATCACAGGACCATGCAGCAGTGCATTACGGTTTCTGTGTGTGTGTGTGTGTGTGTGTGTGTGTGTGTGTGTGTGTGTGTGTGTGTGTGTGTGTGTGTGTGTGTGTGTGTGGTGTGTGTGTGTGTGTGTGTGTGTGTGTGTGTGTGTGTGTGTGTGTGTGTGTGTGTGTGTGTGTGTGTGTGTGTGTGTGTGTGTGTGTGTGTGTGTGTGTGTGTGTGTGTGTGTGTGTGTGTGTGTGTGTGTGTGTGTGTGTGTGTGTGTGTGTGTGTGTGTGTGTGTGTGTGAGTGAGTGAGTGAGTGAGTGAGTGAGTGAGTGAGTGAGTGAGTGAGTGAGTGAGTGAGTGAGTGAGTGAGTGAGTGAGTGAGTGAGTGAGTGAGTGAGTGAGTGAGTGAGTGAGTGAGTGAGTGAGAGAATGAG